GGGAGAGGGGAGGAGGGGTATGTGGAGCTGTTTGTGGGTGACGAGGGAGACCCTGGCGGGGGGGTCTCTCTCTCTCTCTCTCTGTGCTGAGCCCGGCGCCTCCTTCCCCCACACCTGCAGGTGAGAAGACACAGGGGCTGATTGGGGTTTCGGAGCTGATCATCTCCACCTCGGTGCAAGGCATCATCTTCTGCCTGCTGGGGGCACAGCCCCTCCTCATCATTGGCTTCTCAGGACCTCTGCTCGTTTTCGAGGAGGCCTTCTTCATGGTGAATTCCGGGGCTCCCGCCTTTTTGAGGGCCCCCCCATGAGGGGGGCTTTCCTCGGGAAGCCGTTTTGTGGCCTCTTGGAGGGAAAGCAATACTTCAGTCTCTGCATTGCCTGGCTTTTTCTGCCGGGAGGGGGGGGGGCTGGTCTAGAAGCTCTGGGGCCGATCGAGGCTCAGGCAGAGAGGGCAGAGAGGGCAGGGGGCTGGCCCCTCTGCAAGGCCCCTTTCGACCTCTCGGGCTGGGAGGGAGGGGAGGGCCCCCCTCCCTACAGGAGGCGCCTCTCCTCCCACCAGGGAGAGGTGGGGACCCAGTGGGGCATGTGCTGCACCCAGAAGGGGTCAGAGGCTGGCGCTACGGGGCCTCTCCTTCCTCATCTCCTTCCCCCCCCCCAAACACACACACACACTTCTCCTCCTTTTTACCCAGTTCTGCACGTCCCACAACATGGAGTACCTGGTGGGGCGTGTCTGGATCGGGTTCTGGCTGATCCTGATCGTGACCCTCATGGTGGCCTTTGAGGGCAGCTTCCTGGTGCGTTTCGTCTCCCGCTTCACCCAGGAGATCTTTGCCTTCCTCATCTCCCTCATCTTCATCTACGAGACCTTCTACAAGTTGACTAAGGTAAAAAAGTAGTAGAAGAAGAAGAGTCAAAACCAGAGCCCTCTTCGGAGAGCGGCCTCTTTGCCTTCCGCCTCAGCTGGACCGGGAGCACACCACCCCGGTTGGGTCCTGAGCAAACGGTGCTGAGCCCATTCAAGGCCGAGCAAGAGAAGCACGGCTAGGTACTTGGGTCCCGGGCCGGTGGCATTGAGAAGAAGTGCCCGCCTTTTGTCCCGGGGGGTGGGGGTGGCACTCGGACCAGGTCACCATGTTTTTATGGGAAATGTTTTTTAAGGTTGCCGCCCAAACTGACAAAGAATAAATTGACCCAGACAAATTGTGGGCCTCTTATCATATATGAAAGAAAGAACAAGTCCCCAATTCCGAAGCACTTACGTTTTTCTGGCTCCAAGGCACACAACCAGCCAACCGACGAGGGAAAATCGCAGCCGAAGAGCTCATGCAGCCTTCCAAGCAATAGGTGGGGGGCTCAGGAATGCGACGTTCATTGAATTTATTGTTTTTAAAGTTGCTTTCAATCCTGGTTTTCATCCTGACAACATTTTAGTTGCTTCTTGGTCCAGTTTTTTCCCAGTGTTTTAAAAACTGTGATTATTTTAATCGTCGTGAGCTGCCTCGAGTCTCCTATGCAATGTTTATACCCAAGATAAAGAAATGAATCATAAGTGCCAAGAAGACCTGGGCTGGGTTGCGAAGCCTCCGCCCGGAAAGCATAGGGGCTGATCCGTGGCTTTGTGGTGGGGTTTCCCTGTGGGTCATCGAAACAAACAATCTCCCTGAACTCTTTTCCTCGGGCAGATTTTCCAGGCCCATCCGCTCAGCGGCTGCTTGAAAGCCAACGGCACTGGCGACGGCCAGGAGGAGGGAGACGCCTCGGGCGCACCGGGGAACGGAACGGCCAGGCAAGCCTCCGAAGTGACCGGCCAGCCCAACACGGCCCTCCTCTCGCTGGTGCTCATGGCCGGGACCTTCTTCATAGCCTTCTTCCTGCGCAAGTTCAAGAACAGCCGCTTCTTCCCTGGCCGGGTGGGTGGCCGGCGGTGACATCCCAGGCGGTGGCCACATGGGGTGGAGGGGCCGGAGGAGGAACTGCCCCTTGCGGGCGCTGGCCTCCTGAGGGGAGCCGGGGTGGGAATGATTCGGCACCTGCCTCAGCAGTCCCTTGGCCAGCCGGGTTCGTAGCACATGGCTGCTGCCCTGAAAGCTCCTCCCAGGGTGGCTGTGGGTCTGCCGGCCCCTTCCCAGATTGTGGGGGGGGGCAGGGGCCCTGTGGCTGAGCGCCAATCTCTCTCTCTCTCTCTCCGGGCAGGTTCGTGTGGTGATTGGCGACTTTGGGGTGCCCATTGCCATCCTCCTCATGGTGCTGGTGGACTTCAACATCGAGGACACCTACACGCAGGTCAGCGGAGGGCAAGGGGCCTTCTCAGCCGTCGCTTGAGGGTCCCTGGGCTGGGCGGGGCTCTCCGCTCCCCCCCCCCGTCACCCCTCCAGGACTCGACTCTGCCTTGAGGATGGGCAGGGAGGGGGGAGGAAGGCCTGGAGCAGGAGGGCGAGCCGAGGGACAGGGCTGGGGAGAGAAGGACGGCCATCCTTGGGCCCCGCTCGGAAGGCACCTCTGGGGATCCCTTTTTTGACCCCTGGGCTTTAGAAGGGGGTGGGTGGGGCGAGCGCGTGGGCTGGCAGTGTCCTTTCCCTCCGTCGCTCTGACCTTCGGCCCTTCGACCTGCATGTAGAAGCTGTCCGTGCCCGATGGCTTTTCCGTCACTAACCCTGAGAAGAGGGGCTGGGTCATCAACCCTGTGGGGCAGGAGCACCCCTTCCCGGTCTGGATGATGGTGGCCAGCGGACTCCCGGCGCTGCTGGTCTTTATCCTCATCTTCATGGAGACGCAAATCACAACGTGAGCAACGCCAGGGACCAGCGGGCCGGGTGGGGCCGCCCGGCAGCCTTGGCGAAAGGGGTGGAGGGTGCAGAGTGACCGGGGAGCGTTCCTTCATGCCCTGGGGAAGAGGGAGCCTCCTGCCCTTGGTGGGTGGGCGGCGGGGTGGTTGCTGGTGTGACTGACACGTGGTCTGTTGGGGCCGAGACGCAAATCACAACGTGAGCAACGCCAGGGACCAGCGGGCCGGGTGGGGCCGCCCGGCAGCCTTGGCGAAAGGGGTGGAGGGTGCAGAGTGACCGGGGAGCGTTCCTTCATGCCCTGGGGAAGAGGGAGCCTCCTGCCCTTGGTGGGTGGGCGGCGGGGTGGTTGCTGGTGTGACTGACACGTGGTCTGTTGGGGCCGGGCCNTTCCACCTGGACCTGCTGCTGATCGTGGGCATGGGGGGGTTCTGCGCGCTCTTCGGGCTGCCCTGGCTGGCGGCAGCCACCGTGCGCTCGGTCACGCATGCCAACGCGCTCACGGTCATGAGCAAGGCGGTGGCGCCCGGGGACAAGCCCAAGATCCAGGAGGTGAAGGAGCAGCGGGTGACGGGCCTCTTGGTGGCGGCCCTTGTCGGTGAGTCGGGGGCGCGTGGGGGTGTCCGTGTCCCAACAGGGAGGGAGGAGCCCTGGGGAGGTCCCTCCTGCACACCCTTCCTCTGGACCTGGGCCTTGCCTCCCCCCCAGCTGCCCCTGTCCAGCCCGGCTCCTGACCCCTTTGCCGCTCACAACCTCTGGCACCCCGGGGAGGAGGAGAGGCAGGCTGTCACCCCACTGACCATGGCCATGCCTGGATGCCCCCCCCCAGCTCGGGGATCATCCCCGTGGGGGGTGCTTGAGGGAAGGCGTGTGGCAGTGGCCGTGGAGAGGAGGCGGTCCTGCCTCAAGCCCGCTGGGGGCTGCAGGCTTCGGCTCTGAGCTGCCCCTCCTCTCTCGCAGGGCTGTCCATCGTCATTGGGGACCTGCTCCGCAAGATCCCCCTGGCTGTGCTCTTTGGGATCTTCCTCTACATGGGGGTCACCTCGCTGAACGGGATCCAGTTCTACGAGCGCCTCCAGCTGCTGCTCATGCCCCCCAAGCACCACCCGGACATGCCCTACGTCAAGAAGGTCAGAGGCTGCGGGGGGGGGGGTTGAGGCGGGGAGCAAGTGTCAGAGAGAAGGTGTCCCAAGGAACTCCTGGGCCGGCCGTTTGGGTGGAGGTGCTTTGCATAGAACAGGCTGAAACAACGTCTGCTTGTTCGGCCAACCGGCTTGGCCGCTTTGGAGAAGACGCAGGGAAAAGGCCAGCCTGGGGTTGAGGCCCGGGGTTGTTGCTGCTGCTGCTGCTGCTGGCGTTTCTGTCCCTCGGGGCTGCCGAGGGTTTGGGAAGCCAGACTGTTTTCCAAAAGTGTGAATGGGGCCCCAGACCCTTCCCCCCCCCACACACACACCCCTCCCTGGAAAACATGGGCGTTGGGTCAGGAGTGGAACTCCTTACCCACCCCAAGGCCTCCTGGGAGAAAAGCTGGCCAGTGTAACCAAGTGCAGGGTGCACAGTCCCAGGCCACGCACGCGCGCATGCGCACTCACACACACACAGATCCAGCAGAGGGACAAGGGAAACCACTTCACACCTAGGAAAGCCCAGCAAGCTTCACCAGAAAGCACAAGCGAGTGGAGGGCACACCGTTATGTTCCGTGGGGCCTGTCTGTATGGAGGTGTCTTGGCCTCTCGCTGGAGGGGCTCCTTTCTTCCCTCTCCTTGGGGGGTCCACCCCCCTGCGGTGCTGCTGAGAGCCCAGGACGTTAAATGCTTCTCAGGTCTGCCCCCCCCTCCAATTGCCCTATTTTGACAGGGTCAGCCCTTGCCCACCCTTGGTGCTTTGCGGGGGGGGGGCAACCTGTAGGAGAGAGAACCTTTGCCTTGCCCCACCTGCCCAGGCCCTGGCGGCCGGTCCCCTGTGGCCTCCCTCCTGCCGGTGCAGGGGCTGCTTTTCCTTGGCCGAGCCAGAGGTCTTTCCCTGACAAGAGCCCTGCAGGAAGAGGGACGGTTCAAGGCGAGGGGGAGGCCAGCAGGCACCGGGCACTCTGGAGCACCCTAGCCCTCTCCCCCCCCCACCTGGGCAGGTCTGGGCTGGCCGTTCAGGACTCATGCGTTACTTGCCTTCCAGCTGGATGACTGCAAGGAGCTCTACGTGGGGCTGCCTCTGGAAAGTCTTCAGAAACTTCTGCAGGTCCAAAATGCTGCAGCCACATGGCTGACAGATCACAACATCCCTCTGTTAGAGCAGCTCCATGGGCTGCCAGTCCGTTTCCAGGCAGAATTCAAAGGGCTGGTTTTAACCTATAAAGCCCTAAATGGCTTTGGGTCCAAGTTGTCTCAAAGGCTGCGTCTCCCTTGCTTTTCTTTTTTTTCTTTCTTTCTTTCTTCCTTCCTTTCATTCTTTCTTCCTATGCCTCCTATCTAACTGAAGACCACTCTTTACATGTCTGCTCAAGTGTTCAGATCATCAAGGGAGGCCCTTCTCTTGTTCCCACCCCCCTCACAGGTGCATGTTTGGTGGGAACACAGGAGAGGGCCTTCTCTGTGGCTGCTCCTTTAGACTCTGGAACTCCCTGCCACTGGAGGCCAGACTGGCCCCATCTTTGGTGTCTTTCCACAAGAAGGCCAAGACCTTTCTCTTCAGGCAGGCTTTCCAAGTGACTGAGTGGAGTGTTAAAGGGATTGTTATTCTTTAGTGCTCTGAATGTATTTTTGGTCTTGTTTTTGTTTACCATTTTTTAGCATGATATTTGTTTTATCCTTTTAAGTTACTTGTATTCACACCAATTAAGCTTTAAATGTTGCCTTTTAATGATGTAATCTCTGCCTTGGGCCCTTTTAAAGAGGAAAGGCCTAAACCTGAGTTTCTTCCCCCCCCCCAGGTGCGGACGCTGCGCATGCACCTCTTCACGCTTATGCAGCTGGCCTGCCTGGCCGTGCTCTGGGCGGTCATGTCCACTGTGGCTTCCCTGGCCTTCCCCTTCATCCTCATCCTCACCGTGCCGCTCCGCATGTGCCTGTTGAGCCGCATCTTCACTGAGCGAGAACTCAAGTGTGTACGTATGGCCAGCGCCCACACACGTGACCGGGGGTGTGTGTGTGAGCGAGCGTGGAGAGCAGTCTCTGGCTGGAGGTTGGACTGGGAGGGCGCCCTCTGTGCTGCAGGCAAGAGACGAGCCAAAGGGGCTCTTCCCTCACCCCCTCTCGCCCCCCCTCTTCTGCAGCTGGATGCCGCCGAGGCCGAGCCCGTTTTGGACGAGAGGACGGGCATGGACGAATACCATGAGATGCCAATGCCCGTCTGAAGGGACCAGAGGAAACCCGCCAATGCCAACCAGCTGGCCACAAAGGGATCAAGAGCTGAGGCTTCCCCTGTCCCTGGACTGGCCCACAGCTCACCATCCCCAGCCACCCCAGTGCCTTTCTCTGCGAGAGTGTAGCGACAGGAGGGGTCTGCGCAATAAGCCCCTGACATGTGCGTCTGTGCCCGGCACACATTCCACTCCAGGGGGGGACCTGACCATAGAGAACGCTGCACAGAGCTAGCCCCCCCTCCACAGAATCCGTCCACGTGAGCTGCCACGGAGCGCCCACCTCTACCAGCGCTGCCCAGGCCCTGCTCCTGCGCACCAGCCTGAAGGGGCCTGGGGGAGGCACCCCTCTTCCAAGAAGACAATCAGCTGCTCCCTGCATGATTTTATTTAAGAGATTAATTTAAAGTGTCAATAAATCGCTTTATTACAATCCACCGCAGGGGCCTTCCCCCACTTGCCAGCCTCCCCATTCATGGGTGTAGAGGAAACGAAACAAAGAGGGTCTGGGAGAGCAGGATGGGGCCAAGGTCCAGGGAGCAGCTGCTGCTGGGAAGCCAAGCCAGAACGGAAGGCATGGGGGAAGAAGTGCTCCTCCTCCTCCTCCTCCTGGGCAGCTGGGTGCCGGAGGGCGGCCGAAGGAAGGCGCCACAGTCTTCCATGCAAAGGAGCGCCTGGGCAGGACCTCCACCCGTGGAAGAGGGACGGGCGAGGGTTAGGGTCTGCCTGCCAGAGCCAAACACGTCCGGACGAGGGGCCCACCATCCAGCTCAGCCGTCGGGCCCGTCGTCCTGCCTGCCTCCGCCTGGCGGTGGACAGGGGGCAGGGCCGGGCCGGCGCAGCTCCCTCAGCTTCTGCCACAGGTACTGCTTGGCCTCCTCAAGGCCTCTCAGTTTGTCCAGTTCCAGGTAGGGCAGCTGTGGGTTGAAGGAGGGGGGAAAGGGCCCATTAAGCCCCCGTGGGATCCCCGCCTTTTGCCAGACTCCGGGCATGTGGCTCAGTCTGACCACCACCACCACCACTGGCGGTCCTGTCACCCTCTGGCCACAGGCTTCCTCCCTGCCCTCCCCACTTGAAAGGATGAGCAGCAATTCCCCTCCCTCGAGGTCCCTTACCTGGAGGAGGCAATACCCAAGCAAGCGGAGGTGCCGGTTGCGCATGGCACGGGAGCCCACCAAGACGGGCGCGTTCTGGCAGTAATGCCACTTGTCGTTGACACAAAGCACCACCCTGGTGGAAGAGCTGGAGTCACTGGCACACACTGTCCCCCCCCCCAAGGGTAGCCAAGCAGCCCCATTCTCTTAACCCTCCCCCCACCCATGCCCCTGAGCAGAGTGGGATGCCCTTGCCCATCGGGGCCCACGTAGATCTGAAACGATGGGCATGGACACTGCCTCCCTTCAGCCAGACAGCCGGGGGAACGGGAGGCAAGCGCACTAGAACGCAGCCCTCGGGAGTCCCCACCAACGTTGCTGCTGCCGGGGGGGGGGCAGACTGGCCACTCACAGGGCTGTGCCTGCCCTCCACAGCCCTGCTTCGTCCTTTCTCCCTCCATGGGCTGCTCCAAAAGGGCCAAGCAAGGAAGGGAGCGCAATCAAAGCAGCAGAGGGGTGGGCTTGAGGGACCTGCCAAAACCCCCCTGGAAATTGGGGGGGGGGAACCAGTCCGCAGGCAGGCTGGGTGCCAGGCCCCAGGCTGGTGGGGGTGGGCAAGAGGCATTCTGCCTCTGTTCAGGATCTCGTGGCCAACAGGAAAAAGGGCCCAGGGCTCCCCCTTCCCTTGGGCCTGGAGGGGGCAAGCCTGAGGTGCTCCCCTCTGGGAATGAAGGCCCATCCACACTCCTTATAATAATGCCTTTTAAAAAACAAAAACCAAGGTTGCAGGCCAGTGAAGCCTAAATGCTGAGAAGGAACTGGGAAAGAAAACATGTTTTTCTGGTTTTTAAAAAACTGCACTTTTAAAGAATGAATGAGGGGACTGGAAGGACAGCAAAGCTGACACCTCCTTTCTTAAAGCCACAGTGACAGCGAAGTCCAGACTCTTTGAGTTCCCCTCTCTTGAGACCCAGCCCCCCCCCTCTCTTTTTTTTTTAAAATACAGCTGACAGCAAAGCTGTTTTATCCAAAAATGGCAGGCCTTCCCGACACCCAGGCTGCTCCAGTCTTTTGGGTGCAGAAGGACAAGCTTCTCTGGAAAAAGGGTCTGGGGGCAAGGGGCACGTAGAAAAGAAAAGAGCCAGTCCCATTTCACTGACCAAGGGCATCCCCCCCCGCCATGGCTTGCAGGGCAAGAAAGACGTGGCCAATACCTGTGGATGCCCTCGGTCTCCTCTGGTCCTTCAGCGACCGTCCCCTCCCAGGTGGGGAAACAGAAATGGGTCAGAGTGGCTGCACTGCTCTTGCCACTGGACAGGAAGAAATCCATCCGTGCGGGGCTGCCCGGGTCGTCAGCCATGCCTGAAAGAGGCTTGGCCCTCCACGGGCCAAAGGAACCCTCTTGTGGGGGCGACAAGGGCAGGCTTCGGTCGTGCAAAGGGAGGTCCCCCGCCCTGGGCCTGGCAGGCAGCTCTTGCCAGAAGGGAGCCAGGCCTTGCTTCTCTTTGGGAGGAGGAGGAGGTGCCTGGGCAGCCTCAGAAACCCTGGAGGCCTTCAGCCCAATCGGGAGCACTCGGCCTGAAGAGGTGATCCAGAGTAGGAAGTCTGCAGACAGAGGGCGACAGGGAAACCAGGGGAGACTGTGGTCACATTAGGCGCAAGCCCAAGGAGGAAGCAGATGAAGGACAGGGAAATGGCAACACCCACCACCACCACCACCCCCACCCCCCCAAGGAAAAACCCAGAGAACTAGAGCTCCAGGAGTGGAGAAAGACTTGGAAATTCAGGAGAGAATAAACCAAAGTCCCCTTTCAAAAAAAACAACAACAACAACAAAAAAAACCCTTCTGGGCATGAGATTTAAACCTTTTTTCAACCCATAGTCCATCTCGAGGGGTAAGGTCTATTCTTGATCATCGCAGAGAGCAGGACACATAACAACAGGCTCATTTCGGTTGCATAGGAAGAAAAACTTCCTAATTGTTATAGCATTACGTCAATGGAACCAATGACTTCAAGGGGAGGTGGTGAGCATTCAAGAGTAAACTGGACAACCCTGTCAGATATCCTTTGATTTGTATTCCTGCACTGAGCTGGGGGGGGGGAGTTGGACTCGATGATCTTGGAGGCCCCTTCCAACTTCATGATTCTATGATTCAAGTGCTCCATTAGGCAAAAAAGGCAGTCAACCTCACTTAAAACCTTGTTTACATATTGTGTTCGAAACACCACATAGAAATTATTTTACTAATGCAACTATTCTAATAATCAAAATCCCAACAGAATGTTTCTTTGGCTGCTTTAAACCTTAAGGACAGACTGTACTTGAGAACATCACATGTGAATTTTCTTGCACGTATTTAAAGGCGCCGTTCAGATTCCCTGGACACAGTCAGAGGAAGAAAATTTATTTCATCCATGGAACTGGCTCAAAGACTGGACAGAAAACAAACCTGGGTTTGCCTGAGACCTCCAGTCTATACCCCAATAAGCCTGCCCTATGCCCGGGGCAGACAGCTGGGGGCAAGAGACTCCCCTCCCATTCTCAGGCACCCAGTCTGGCCAGAAGCAGAGGTCACCACGGAGGATCTGGCCCTCTCCTCCTCCTCCTCCTCCCTCCTGCTATAAGCCTTCCTCCTCCTTCCAAGGGGCAGCCCAGCCCCTCCCAAAAGGTCCCTCTTACCAACGCGGTAGCCGGGAGGCAGCACCGTGTCTTGACGATATCCCTCTTTGCCTACAAGCTGCCGGAGAGCCTCCCGCACGATACGTTTGTAGCTGGGGAGGAAACGCGGAAGGTCAGGGGGTTACGTACCAGGGCAAGGACCCAAAGGATTCAAATCCCTGTAGGACAAGGAGGTCAGGCGATCCCCCCCCCCACAGCAACGCCTGGTCCCTGGCTGTCCCAAAGCCAATCCTCCCCACAAGTAGGGCCCCGGGGCCCTCCCTCTCCAGCCTCAAGTGCCTGGAATAAACCCACCTTTAAGAAGTCTCTACCTGCATTGTACCTCCTCTGTAGCGAGCGCCCTGTGAAACACGCTCACGCGATGTCGGGGGTCGAGGCGGGGGCCGCTGTAGTTGCTGAGCTCCAGCTGCACAGCTGCATCCAGCAGGGAGAGGTAGTTCTGCGCAATCCACCCACAGGGACTGCCTGGGCAGGGGAGGGGGTCAGGCAGGAGAGTCGGTGGGAAGTGTGGCCCACCCACCCCAGCGCTCACCCCCCAGGAGTGGCCTCCTTCCCTCCCCTCCAAGCAGGGCGCACGTACTGGTGACGTTGGCCACGAAACCAGGAGAGAAGACCTGGGACAGGACGGCGGCCGGGAAGTATTGCAGTTGAAAGAGGGACATCAGGATGTTGAGCGTGGCCAGCGGGGCTGCGGGCGCCTTCTGTTTCAGCACAGCTGCCAGAGATGGGAAGAGCGCCAGGTGGTTGGGGGGCTGGTAGCTGAGACGGCTGAAGGGGAAGATGAGCCTCTGGATCACCTGCAGGACAACCCCCCCCCAAGAGCATAACCCTCTGTGTGAAGATCATGGCCTCCAAGCTTCTTCCTGCTCTGCCAGTCCTCCTGCCCCTTCCCACTTTATTCCCCCCCCCACGCCACCAGCTCCTCCTATTCTGAAAACAGGGGGAGGGAGGAAAGGGGGCCTTTGCCTGGGAGGGAGCCCCCTTCTGCCCTTAGCGGGACCCACACAGTAAATCTGACAAGCAGCAGAAGGAGCCCTGGGATGGCCTCTGCTCTCTCGGCTGCAGCCTGAGGAAGTGGCGGCCTCAAGCCAGAAGGCCCCCCAGGGTCAGATCGCACCCCCCCAGCCCCCCGGTTTCTCCTTTGGGCACCTTTGACCGATGCGTAAGGATTCCCATGGAGATGTGGCCACAGCCACTGACCAGCCTGGCTCAGAGAGCAGGTGGGCCAGGCATCTCCCTGCCATGGCCCCTCTTCTTCAAAGGCCACTTGCCCTCCCCAGCCTGACTCACCTTGATGTCCAGGGACTCCACCCTTTGAAGCAGGAAGGCAGCGATGCTGTCCAGCAAAGGGATCTCCCGCAGGCGGTGCCAAGCCAGATGCCGGGCAATGGAGGCAACGGTGGGAGGGCTGAAGCCCTCGACCTTGTCAGGGAACCAGCCTGCAGAGACAAGAGAAAAGTTTCAGCTCACCCCAGCTGAAAGCAAGGGCCCAGAGACCCTGGGAAGCCCCTCTGGATGACAGAATTATGAAGCTGGAAGGGGCCTCTAAGGTCATCGAGTCCAACCCCTGCTCAGTGGCGGAATACAAATCAAAGCAGATCTGACAGATGATTATCTACATTTGTCTTGAAGGCCTCCAGCACTGCTGAGGCACTCACCACCGCTTGAAGTCATACTGTTCTAACAGTGAAGAAGAAATCTGGGCTCCTCTGACTTGAGTCCATTGTTGTGTGTCCTGTGTTCTGTAATGACTGAGCACAGATGCTGCGCCTCCTCGGTAGGAGGTGCAAGTCTTTGAAAAGTGCTCTCCTATCTCCCCTCAGTCTTCTTTTCTCAAGACTCAATATGCCCAGGTCTTTCGGTCTTTCCTCTTGGGCCTTGGTTTCCAGTCCTCTTGCCATCCTGGATGCCATCCTCTGAACTTACTCCAGTCTGTTCCCATCCTTCTTGAAGTGCGGAGTCCAGAACTGGGTGCAGGACTCCACGGGAGACCTCCTTCCTGCTCGGAAGAGAGTGGCTCCTGCCCAGGCAGGAGGTTCTGTCGGGGGGGGGGAGGGGGCAGGCGGTGTGTATGTGGAGCTGAAGCCCCCTGCTGTCAGAACCTGGCTGGGAGGGGCCGCTGGGCTCCTCTGGGCCCTCCAGGGTGGGGGCTGGTCGCCGCTGGCTGGCACTCACCTGCCATGCTGTGGACCAGGAGCTGCTGGCTGTGTTGCGTGAAGAGCGGGCTGCCGAAGAGCGCCTGCAGGGCCTGCTCCCCGGCCTCCGGGGCGCACAGGGCCACCACCCCCTCCAGCGCGCCCCTCTCCTGTTCCGGCAAGACCTCTCCCTGCTCCAGGAGACGCAGCACCAAGCGCAGGATCCGGTGCTTCTCCGCGGGCGTCAACGGGGCCTCGGCGCACGGCTGGTCGTGCAGGGCCCCGGCCCGCAGGCGGTAGCAGGCCAGCAGCGGCGGCAGCAGGAGGGGCAGGCGCACAGGGCCACCACCCCCTCCAGCGCGCCCCTCTCCTGTTCCGGCAAGACCTCTCCCTGCTCCAGGAGACGCAGCACCAAGCGCAGGATCCGGTGCTTCTCCGCGGGCGTCAACGGGGCCTCGGCGCACGGCTGGTCGTGCAGGGCCCCGGCCCGCAGGCGGTAGCAGGCCAGCAGCGGCGGCAGCAGGAGGGGCAGGGCA